TCATCAAGTGCCATCATCAAAATACATGCAAAACCACTGACGTTACCGTCAGCCTCACCTGTACTTTGTTTTTAGTGCCAATTATAGCTTGCATTTGACCTGCTAAACGTGAGGGTGCTAACTGCTGTTTAGCCTTTACAACCTATTCTTTTAAATATTCTTAAAATATATGTTTGCGTACGATACAATAGACTTGGATGTATTTTATTTTATATTCTGTTTTGCAGAATTACTGTGAAAACATGCAGTACCTGATTTCAGAGAGATTGACAGTGTTGGGATAAAGCTCAGGGGGCTTCTTGTCTTCACCAGGCAGTGAACTATTAGCGGAAGCGCATCTCATTGCCGTATAAATAGCAGACGCACACATAACTCAGACTGAAATACCCACCCATCTCATCCTCTGTCTGGCATCAGCAGCGGGAGAAGAAGCCCCATTAACTCAGATTGAGGCCTTCAGGACAACAACAAACAGTATAGATGATATAGATAGTTTAGAGGAGGCTCTTATGGCACACTTCAATTTCCTTCCATGTACAAGTCCCTGAACAGGATCTCACTACAGCACATTGGTCAATATGAGATCATTGTGTCACATGGGGTTGACCTTTGCTGCCATACTGAATAGGAGCTGAGGGATTTGGGGGCACTGAAAAGAAACTGTAAAACTGAACAAAAAGACATTCATTCCATAAACCTTCCAGCTGTATCTGAAGCTGAATGGCTGTGCCCCGACATTGTATGATTTTGCCTTTGAAGAAATACAAAAAACTCCTCTGATGCTTTTAAGGAAACAAACTCTAAAAATCTGTGCGACTCTAAAACCAGAGAGGGTGAAACTCTAAAAGTGTGACAGTATGACTAAGCTGATTTCTATTTAGCACTTTAACGTTTCGGGTTGTGTGATACAGCCATGAGTAAGCACCAAACAGAGCATCGAAGCAGTAATATCGTTTTCACCATTGAATCCAGCGGCACAACACACAATGAGGACGACACAGTGTGGCCGCAGGGGACAGTAACCCAAATCTTCATGAGATAAAGAGAAAATGAGTCAATGGCATCTAATTACAGTAAGTTGGAGGCAAATTGTTTTAAAACAGAATATCAGAAGAGCAGAGACGATGGGAGCACCTTGGAAACTGAACTCTCTGCAATAACACAGAGAGGGCACTATTATGAAGCTAATGTACTATTCAGACAGGAAAGCAAATTGCTCTGTTGCTTTCTGAATAATACATTTATCTAACTGAGGGTGCAATAGCATCAAGTCAGAGTGTTTTGAACTCGTACAGTCTCAACATGCTGGTGAAATCATCAAGTCATCAGGGATGTACCAGTGAGGACTCAAGTACATGATTACTAAATCTTTTCTGGGAATTTGCAGGTTTGAGGAGCCAGCAAAATGACACTTTACATTGATGGATATTAGATAGTCTGATTTGATTATTTTTTACACTCATATTTAATTTTTGTGTCTTTTTTGCCAAAAGAGATACATAAATACTGGACACTAGTCGTGCAGATAAAAACTTAAAGTAGTTGTAAAATATCTTTATAATAACAGTGTATTGAATGACAAAGTCAAAACGATGTGACAAGAAAGAGGTTGCTTGTATTGACGAACCTACAGTACAGATACTTTGAATCTTCCTTCGACTTTATGGAGGTTTTACAGCGAGTTTCAGCTCACTGTTTAGCTAGCTTAGCTGTTTTGGTTCATTCTCACCGTCACCACACAGCAGACAGACAGAAACAAGTAGCTAGCTATAGCTAGCTGGAGGGCACAGTGGAGCATTTAGCAGCTAAAGGGCCTGATGTTTAAACAGAGCTAAAGGAGGGTGAATGTTGGACTTGGTGGACATAAACACGACTCCAAATGAATGCTAATGTTGCTCCTTAACCTTTTGAAGCGCATAGAAGCCCAAAAACCTCTTAAAAACCCAACGGTCTGGCCGACATATTGTCTTCTTCCAGAAGCTACAGGTTAAAGTACGAGTTTGTCGGTAAGAAGGCTAAATCACTCTCCAAAGAAAAAACTAGCGTGGCCATACTCATAGGGGTCCCTTGACCTCTCACCTCAAGATATGTGAATGAAAATTGTTTTTATGGACACCCACACGTCTCCCCTTTACAGACATGCCCACTTTATGATAATGGAAAAAACAAGCATACAGTATAAATATGCTGTTTTTCAGCTATAAAATTGGTGTATTTGTATATTTCTGCATACAACAGTCTTGGAATTGCATAAATTGGGTATGACTGGAAAACTGAGATTCTTGTGGATCCAATGAGCCCAATGAATTGCATTCATGTGTGATGTAGTCTCCAAAGTAGCCATCTCATTGTAGTGAGACAAGTTTCTTAAAACGTAACATTAAATGACCTGTGGTGACCTCTAGGATAATCACAGCCTCATGAAACTTTACAACCACAAACTAGACGAGACGTATGGCATTCAGAGGATGTATGGCTTTCCTATGTTTATGGACAATAAGGGGGTATCTGAGCCGTTTCAACAACAAAAGCGCACATCACTGAAATCACTAAAAAAAAATGTATCGATTTATGAGACATAGTAGAGCATGAGAATGGCCATCACATACTTGTATCATAATGTTCTCCACCCTTTGACACTTTTAGAATTTATTTTTAATTCATTCATTGAATAATATTGATACATATTTATTTCTGATTTATTGCTATATCAACTTAACACAATGCTGAGCTGCATCTCAAATTAATCTTCAGGTTCCTAGTTTTCTGCTGATGTTCACCACTTCTATGTGGCACACACTGTTGACTTTTATTAACTACTGCTGAACATCCCCTTTCCCCTACTACGAAAGTTCTCCTTCCTCTTACTCTAAACCACTTAAAAGGACGTCAAATTATCTGAAAAAAATGCATGTCACAAAGCAAAAAACATAACTACTTTTATTAGCTCATGAAAAGCTGATGTCTTTGGAGGTTTTGTGAAAAAACTTTCATTTTGAGAAAACTTTTTATAGACCTCAGAATTTCTGAAATCATGACTACAGCCCTGCAAGTCATAAAGACACAGTAGATGTGATCATTATAAAGTCATCTATGCAGACAGTAGATATGATGTCACAGCATACTGGCAACAGCGTTATTCATCCCACTCTATTCCAGTAGGTGCATCACATCAGCACATCAGGTTAGTTTACAGACTGTCCCCTCCTGGCACTAACTGCACTGGTGCAGCATTCACATTTTCTCAGGAGTCTGTCCTCTGTTACAGTTTGACACGGGCCACAGTATTAAGCGATACAATACTTTAGGCTCATAGTCTGTTTTTAAAATAAGTTCCAGGAATGCTGCTGGACAGTGAGCAGGTTTCAGAGGGGTGACACGACTCTCGCTCTGACGGTCTATGTGTCTGCATGAATGCCTTGGTCTTACCAGGCGACAGGGTGACTCCAGCACGAGTAAACTGAGGAGCCAACGGTTAAATATATATATAGAGCTCCAAAACAGGGACCTGGTATAGGATTAAGTGTAGTATTCGGTTTGTGCTACCTGTTCTTTACTCATGTATATCCATTTTATACAACTTTTTACTCTACATTTCAGAGGGGAACATTGTACTTTTACACCACTATATTTATTTACTCTGCATAAAGATAACGCCGGCTACTGCATGATGATTTTATTAAATATGATGCGACATAGATTAAATTAACCAAAAGTGTATTGACATGAAAAGTAGTTCTACCACAACCAATTACATTATCTCTCTAATACTATAATAGTAAGTATTGTACAGTATAACACACACAGGGGCCATTTATCTGCACAACATAATAGTTTCACTTTCATTCATACTGTCTCTTTACTTTTACTTTCTAAGTAGGATTTTAATTAACCTGTAATTGAGTATTATTATACTGTAGTACTACTACATTTACTTTACTTTTACTTTCTTTACTCCAGTACAGGATCTGAATGCTGCTTCTACCATTATATTCCTGCATCACATTTCTGTACATTGTGTTCAAGTCTTACTCCTGTTGCTCTTAAGCTGCAGCGTTGAAAGTAAATGTTTTACAAAAACCTTTGAAGTTGTAACCTTTAAGGAAGGTTTAGGATGGATATAACTGTGCCAACTGGATTTGTTGGGGGAAATAAGGTACAGACCTCTCTCAGACCTATGTCCTATAGATATGTTACAACACTGTTCACCCAAGCACCTCATCAGATGAAATAATAAACACAACCTCTCACTCAAGGAGAGGTAAATTATGGCCATCTCTTGTTAACTGTCATGCAGTAAACATTCATAAAGATTTACAAGCAGCAATGCTGATATCATTTATTCCTGATTACTGGAGGACGGGAATAGGATTTATGAGTGTTCCAGTCACACTGAAAGACACAACAAAACAGCTGTTGGCAAACAGCAGATCATCTTAGTCACAAAGACAAGCTAACACACATCTCATCCATGAACACATATGCACACACACACACCCTATACACTATAGGACAAGTCAGTATCTCATCCCCCCCTTGAGTGAAGTCAGCATCAGACCTGAAGTGCTCTGGAAGAAATCACTTCAAAAACCTTTTTTCCTCCGGAATGACTGCCTGCCAGCTGATTCAGCAAAAACCTACTCTCATCCACTCTCTCCTTACTGTAAATCATCGTCTACTTACTCAGACCTCAGGCTGCTCTTGCTGCACATGCCGCACATTCACATGCTAAAACTCCTGCACCCAGTTCAGAGTTATGAGTGCAACAATGATTTAGCAAATCACGGCATTGGTGCAGCATAGAAGTGATGACTGCAGCAGCCACACAACCTTATATGTCACCTTTTAACCGCCCTGAAAATGAAAATCCATGGTATGGTGAACATATAACACAAGGAACAGGTGCAGGTATATGAGATAACGCACATTTAAACTGAGTATGTGAGGAGCAACAAAAAGTAAAAAGGGCGCAAAGCTCAGTGCTGCATTCACCCACTCACCAGCTCTGAGGCTCGGGGGTAAGCTGCTGGTGAAGTGCTAGAGAGAAACCAAAAAAGGTGCCATGGTCTCCCAACTTATGCAGTGTGTGAGTAGTATCCACATTAAAGCCCCACACTTGGCTTGAAAGGGTCAACAGAGTCCAGAGGAGGGAAGTCCAACGATGAGAGGAGCAAGATGAGAGGGAGACGGTGTTCCCATGACCCACAGGGGCTGCCATTGCAGGGTGCAGGGTCCTTGAAGCAGCAGAGCAAGTTCAGTTCAAGAGGAGTACAGGGGAGAATCCTTTTATGGCTCCCAGAGAGATAAAAGAGGAAAAAAAGGGGGCAAATCCTGTGTAGTCTTCTCTCCTCTGTGGATGCCTCACTTGTTTCCAATCCTCTTTCTCTTCCTCCCTCGCTCTATCGTGCTGCCTCTCAACTCCGTTTGCTGCTGTCAGTCTGAAGAGCAGGCTGTGAAAATGTGGCTGCCACTATGTGTGTGTGTGTTTCTCTCAATGCATGTGCGCCTCCCCCTCCTCTATGCTCAGAGGGAGACAGAGGACAAGTGCCTTGAATAGCCCGCTCACTCCTCCCCCTCCCCTCTCTCCCTCTCTCTGTCTCTCTCTCTCTCTCTGTCCCTCCCTCCCCTCCCTCAGCTGACATCAACACTCAAGGGACTGCTGCCAAAATACCAGGCAAGGTTGTCAAGATACTTGGAGGCTATTGAATAGAGAGAGAGAGAGAGAGAGAGAGAGAGAGAGAGAGAGAGAGAGAGA